AAAAAAAAAAAAAAAAAGTGTTTGTATATGTGAATAAGATGTGACACATAATTAATAATAAAGATATTCTTTAAAAAAAAAAAAAAAAGAGAAGCTAACATTACGTCATGTTTTATCTCATAATGTCACTGTTTTCATACATCATGTGTCTGCTGACCTGTATTTTCTCTGAAATCCAAAATATTTCCACACTGCTGATTTACTCCTGAGTAAATAACATCATCCTCATCATCTTTCTCTTGGCTGCCTTTTATCTGCCTGCCATTGTGATGATAAGGATTAATGTTTTCACTTTGCATTGATGATACTGGATCGTTGATCATTGAGTCGATATATCAATCCAGATCAATGGATTGTTACACCCCTATAAATGATCATAATCAGATAATTTTATATAATCCTTTTTGGTGTGTTCATAATAGAAAATGTATGTTCTCTTGTCAGATTTGCTCACAGCTTGCAGAGCTCTGTGCCATGACGCAGCCTGTATGAACAGTCTGCCTCCAGTGTGAACCAGTAAGCCTGACTTACTGGGTAATCTTGCATCGTGTGTGTCTCAGAAGAAGACAAGCATGGTGCTTACCTGGCATGGCAGCAGGACTAGAAAATGTCGGCATCAGTGGTGTCTGTGGTGTTCGACCGGCGTGACCCCGTGTGATGTCATATCCTGCACTCATGGAGAAGTTTGATACAGGCAGGCCTGTGGGAGGGGCCGACATGCCAGGAGCAGAAGGAGGAGGTGGCCCAATAGGGGGAGGCAGAGGAGGCAAAGAAGAGGGGGTGGAAGGAGGAAACGGAGAGCTGCTTGTGAAGGGAGAGGATAACTGGGAGGACTGGGGGGGGGGGGTGGCCAAAGGGCTGCTGAAAGCAGGGATGGAGGGAATAGGGGGGAGATTTGTGGAGACTGAGGGGGAACCAATGGAGATGGAACTGATGCCAGGCAGAGACGGAGGGCTGGACAGACCTGAAACACAATGAACTAATGTTACACTTCAGAGGCACTTGTCCCTGTGCCTTTTGTCAGCAGCTCAACATACAGTTGGTCTTCCATGGTAAAGCCCATACGCAACATATGACGTATCCACGCAGTTAGGTGGTTACTACAAATGTTATATTAATGTAAAATGTAACTATCCAGCCACAAGTGGCAATCTCAAGTTCTTTATCAGCCAATTGAAGGAAGCAGCTCAATTGCCCCAAATTACAGCTACAAACAAAAGCAAGTGGGTTTCAAGCTTTACAGAGCTAAGCAAAGTCACTTCAGCTGGTTTAAAGTTGTCTAGAGAAATAGTGAGACCAATAACATACTTCTCACTCTGCAACGACTTGCTGCGAGATAATGGCCATTTTTTTACTAATATTGCTCATTTGTAGTAGAGGTGTGTAACGATCCATCGATCTGGATCCAATATCATCGACGCAAAGTGAAAACATCTATCCATGTCGCCATCTTTAGCATAGGCTTTTATTTTGAAAGTCTGTGTCACTGTCAAACAGCGGCAGGCAGACAGCAAGCAGCAAAGAGAAAGAGGATGAGGATAACATTATTTACTTGACTCAGACAGAGCACATGCCATGTGTAAACAATAGAGATGCAAATCTTGCGGATATATCCGCGACATCCGCAGATATCCTCAATCCACGGGTGGGTAGGCCAATGAAAATTAACATTGTAATTAATTTCGGGTGGATTGCGGGTGGATTTGTCAGTTATATTCGTATTTAATGACCTTTAATTATATAGCAATTTTCAAAAAGGCAGCAGAGCAAAGAATATTAGGCTTGAGTAATTTTTACATTAGAAATGTGACAACATTCGAAAGTAGCCTATAATCTTTTAATTGTTTAAAGGGAAATTTTGGTTTATTTCAACCTGTCTCCTATCATCCCAAATTTGTTTCAAGTCACTAGTGACATAGAAATAATAGTTAGCATGTTAGCCGTTAGCCTGGATACAGCCGTAGCCTCAGACCTGTTAAAACGTAATTGAACAGGCATCCTTTCAAGTGCAAAGTTAGTCCACTAAACAAGCTTTTTCTCCACAAAGACCGCCTCATATCGTTAGGATGAATGTCAGAGAACATATAGAAAACGACATGTAAACGTGTTGTCTTACCTTACCGGTGTGGTGCCATGTTTGTTGTTTACCATTTAGCTAAGGCTGCAACCGGTCCCATTCCTTGCAACAGAGGTATTCCTCTTCTGTGGGCACTGGCGTACAGCATTGACAGGTAACGTTACACCACCAATCTCCAGAGCTAAATCCTTCCAGCAGCCATTCCTCCTCTGTCGTCCTCTAACGTTACCTGTTGCGCCTCTCTCTCTCTCCTCCTCCATTCTTCAATTTCATGAAGCTCTTCTTCAGTGTATTCTGGCTCAAATAAATAAGGGCGGCCATCGCCTCGATGTGGAAAGCCTATATAGTAACATTCCACATTTAGGTGAACAAGCAGCGATCTCATACCATGCCTGAAATCTTGCAAGCCGCAGCAGCTGCAAGGCAGAACCGGACAGTAGCCTGAAAGGTTCATTCATTTATTTTATGAAAGATTTATAGAATAATGGCTGACTTTTTGCCAGACTTCGACTTTGTGGAGGAGGAATTTGATTTTGCAGAGTTTGATGGCCGGCCTTATTTATTTGAGCCAGAATACACTGAAGAAGAGCTTCTTGAAATTGAAGAATGGAGGAGGAGAGAGAGAGAGAGGCACAACAGGTAACGTTAGAGGACGACAGAGGAGGAATGGCTGCTGGAAGGATTTAGCTTTGGAGGTGGTATAACGTTACCTGTGAATGCTGTACGCCAGTGCCCACAGAAGAGGAATACCTCTGTTGCTAGGAATGGGACCAGTTGCAGCCTTAGCTAAATGGTAAACAACAAACATGGCACCACACCGGTAAGGTAAAACAACAAGTTTACATGTTGTTTTCTATATGTTCTCTGACATTCATCCTAACGATATGAGGCAGTCTTTGTGGAGAAAAAGCTTGTTTAGTGGACTAACTTTGCACTTGAAAAGATGCCTGTTCAATTACGTTTTAACAGGTCTGAGGCTACGGCTGTATCTAGGCTAACGGCTAACATGCTAACTATTATTTCTATGTCACTAGTGACTTGAAACAAATTTAGGACGATAGGAGACGGGTTGAAATAAACCGAAATTTCCCTTTAAGTCAAGAAAATGCACCTATATGAAAAGCGAATGAGCACGAATGGCTGGGCATAATTTAAATGTAAATACAATAACTTAATGTTTGGCACGGGTGCGGGTCTCTAAATTTTAGAAGATAATTACGTCAGGTTGGTGGCGGGTGGATGATTGATGAGCGCACAAGGATTTGGGTGCGCTCAAACGGCATCTGCACATCTCTAGTAAACAATGATGTTATGAGATAAAATACAATGTAACGTTACCTGCCTGGACGAGTTTCTCACTCTGCTAACTTCTCGCTTTAGCAACATTAGCTGCTCTATTTTAACAATGTTGGCCTGAAAAACCGTGCATGCAGGCTGAAATTTAAACCAGCTGTTCTGTCGGGAGATGCAGTGACTTAAACCAACAGTAAGTAAGAAAAATAGTAATGTTACATCTAATTTGTTAAGCTATGAGTGGAGGAAAAATGTCCGCTAGCCAATGGGCTAACTTGTGCAATGTAAACATGCTAAAGATAATGATGGGTGATTAGCAAAAAACAATTGTTTTGTCTCTGAACCTTGAGAGCTACTACTAAGCTGAATGTTATACTTTTGTTGAATGATGTTGTTGTTAATCTGTGTTTTAAGGACTTTAAGCCAGTTATTCCTGAATGAAAAAAATGATGGTTTGGGTTGAAATGAAAAGATCTCCTCTAGTAACATCTTGTTCTCCGTCCTACAAGGCTTTAAGCAAGTTTGGTGTTGATAGAGTCAAAATCCAAAAAAGAAATCTATTCACATCACTGTTTTTCATATTATGCTCATTAGCAAAGGATCTATCATGGTGGCCTTAATAGTAGAAGCAGCTTTTTTTTGTAGAGCACCCTGAGTTGTAGATTTGTGTCAAATTTCAAATCAGTATAAGTCTCATGGCATTGGGGGCGTGGCCTGTCAAAGTTTTAAATTTTTCAGCTGTAAATTATAGCGCCACCATCAGACTGATTGGGATCAAATTCGATGTGAAGCATCAGCTAATTAGAAGCTGATTAGAACTTCAGTAAACTCTCCTGCCTTATGTTCAGACAGAATTACTATTACCGAGGGTGCTCAGTAATATGGCTCAACTAATACTGGACAATTGAAACAGATACCAGTTGTCAGCATTTGATTGCTCAATGATCAATCACTCAGTAGGTTTACATGAAATGACAGAAAATGGATGTATTGTGTTAGCCCGACTAAAACCCGGCTTTTAAAATACATGTAAACATGTTAGTCCAACTGAAATTGTACTAAATCGAATTTCACACACCCAGATATGATTGAGAGTCGAGCATGTGCATTCAGCATGTACAAAGCGTACAGAGCTGTAATATTATCCACCATTTTGCCGCTAGCTAACCGTAGCTAGCTTGTTTGTCCATTGTTTGGTCTATGATGTAATAGGGCAACTGGAAAAAGGTCCAATTTTAACATAGTTTGGTTAATAAATTGATTCCCCTCCCATGCTTGTATCCTAGGACAGTTAGTCCAATCAAATGGCCTAGTCACGCTATGAACATAGCTCCACTTAACTGTGCATTAAACATACTGACTGTTCAATCTAATAACAACATATTGGCTGATCTTATTTTTGGTCATTTATACATTAACACATGACATAAAGAAACATTTGGATAAGTGTCCTTTACTTAATTATTAAAGTATTACTGTAGTTTCTTAATAGAATTGCAGCAAAGATGTGTATTGGGCAGGACATTTCACAGCGGAGGGAACCTGGTCTGCTCATGTATCAATGCTTCATAGATCATGTATTACCTATGGTAATTGGTGGGGCACCAACTGCGGCAGCCACAGTCAGAGGTGGTGTAGGACTGGCAGGAGGCGTAGTCTCGATCCCACTCTCTTCCATCATCTTCTTGCCCTTATATAACCTAATGAAGCAGATATTAGATATTAACCGTAGACTGCATAGAAAGACTGCTTCAGTTAACATATGATTTCTTCAATGTTCATATAAAAGTTGGTATTTCTGATATCAGTTACACGGATTCATTCAAAACTTTAGAGCACAACAATGCTTGGTATCATGTTATCCTGATTCCAATTAGTTCTATGCAGTGGGGTACACAGATTTTAAATGTGGGACAAATGGAGCACTATAGAGTGTGCCAGTAAACCCGGAACTCCGTTAGCGCTTTTAGCACTTCCTGTTCTCTCGTCTAAAAGTCAATACGTTTTTTGAATGGGATTTTGGTAAAATGCCTCAAATAAGGTCTGTGGTTAACAAAAACTTAAGCGAGTTTCAGGTTTTGTTCTACGACATAAAACATGTCAGTAAATACCCTACTTGTGAATTTTGAAGCTTTTACGTGTCATAAAAAAGGCGGTTGCTAACAAGCTGCTCAATACGACTACAAACCCTGTCGGGGACATTAAACGTCATCACCCCCGAACAGGCGAGAGTGCTGGCAGTCCGCCATTACAGCTTCTTATTTAGCTTAAACACTCCGATTTCCCCATTATACAATGTTTTTAAAATAAAGCAGCCAAAATCAGTTGAAAGCTTAGTGGTGGTGACGTCAAGAGTCATGCAACCGTGGAGTAGTCATGTAGTCCGTTAAAGCCTAACGTTAGCTTTTTACTTTTGGCGATCGCATTTAAGCTCCAAATGCAGTACGAAAGGTATCCATATGTGAAGATTATCTCGCTGAACAAAACCTGTAAGTATCATAAACTTGTGTTAGCCACAGAGCTTATTTTCTGACATAATCCAAAACGCAATGCAAAAATCACATTCACTTTCTCTTCCGGGAACCAGCGAGATACTAAACTTCCGGGTTTTGACGTCAGCCCCGGCACACTCTATTATCTGATCTGTACTCAATATGAGCAGATACCCTGAGCTCTAGGGGTGCAAGGGGTCACGGTTCAGTTCAATGCAATACAGCAGTGTCATGGTGTGGTACGTTTCTGATACATTTTCGATACAGAGAAAGAGTAGAAATGCCAGAAAAATGTCATTGTTTTTCTATTTTATGTTATTGGAATTAATTTATTTATTAAAACTGTCATCATAAAGAAGACAAGACCCTGATGAAGACAACCGTCTTCATCAGGGTTTTAAACCCTGATGAAGACGGTCTAGTCAAAACGTTGGTACTTGAATAAAAGAAAATATTTTTGCATCAAATCTTAGAGTGTGCGCCTGACATCTTTTTTCAAATTTGTCCACTTTTGTATGACATCAGAGCAAGTCGAGATGAATTCGGACACGAAACTAACCAGCATGCACTGTGCGGTGATCGCTGGTGATCGAATCTGTGTAGGCCTTGTTCATCTCGAAGAGCATATTGTTACACCCCTACTGAGCTGAGGTTACCAAACTGGTAGTGGTATGGGAGAAAAAGTTGGCCCATCCACGGCCCCGTTTGTGTAGCTTGTTCAATTCAATCCAATTCAAATAACTTTATCCATCCACAGCAGGGCAGTTAAAAAGTACAGATTTGTTTCCCAATATGCACCACTACACTAAGAAAACCTTTAAAAGAAGACCAAAAGATTCCTGCCTTTTAAGACAATTTTCAGGCCCTGTCTCAAAAGTAAATTTCCCAAGGATAGCAAGGGAATGACCTACAATACTCTCTCTCGCCTTTGTTTGTTGGATTGGTTAGGTTCACGCAAGAGGAAAGAGACTGGTAAGAATCACAGGGTAAGCCAATCAGAGGCAGAGTAAGGCCCCGATCACACAGAAAGCATCATCGCTTTAGGAGGGTTTTTGTAAATGTTTTTAATGTGAATTAAGCTTTTTGTAATTGTTTTTGATGAGAATGAAGCTTTTTGCTCACTGTTCTTGCATTCCAAAATGCCTCGCGTTTCTGCACTCAAGGCACCTGGCAATTTTGCCAGAGTGCTCTGAACTCATTGAGTTGAAAAAACTTAAACTCAGAGCAGAAAAGCACCCCACATCATCTCGTTTCCCCATTGTCCAATCGGCGTATTTGAGAGGCGGGCCTGCTGTGGCGGTCACGACAACAAGTTTATAGTTGGTAAACAATGGAGGAGAAACTACGGCCTGTATCACGAAGCAAGAATAACCTTTCCTGGGTTACCCAGACCTATGCTGGGTAGACTAACCCTAACAATGGCAATCAGGATAATTGGTATCACGACGCTGGATATCAACTCGGTAACTCAACCCTGGGCTGTTTTATCAAGAGCCGTGAACGCGCACGCAGCAGACCAATCACAATCATGAGAGAAGCGCAGCGTCACTGAGCGTCCTCACAGAGCGCCGTATGTGAGGGAAAAAAAGTATTTCTCGTGAGGATCAGAGATTAATTCTACTAAAATATGAGGAGGAGAAAAGCAACATTACAGAAAAGGCCAACACCGTGGCAGCTGCAGGAGGAGGAAACATGCGTGGCAACACATAACGGGATGAATAATGTTTAGTTTTAGTTTAGATTAGTTTATTTGCACATAATGTTAAAAACAGACAGTATAAAATTTACAAGATTAAAAAAAGAAAAGTGCCGGAGAGGTTAGAAGCCACTAAAAGCTTATCAAAGAAATTCCCCTGTCAAAACATCAATGAAATCACATAATAGAGAAGAAAAAAAACGGGTCAGGAAAGAAGAAATAGAGGAGGAGAGAGGGAAAAATCAAGACAAAACAAGGCAGCAAATAAAATGATGTGTAGGTTAAATGACTCATCACTGGTTCAAGTAGCTACAGTACCTGTACCTGTACATCTGACACTGATCACACCCTTGAATCCCATGAAATCAATGCTGCGCAGATGAATTGCGTGTATTACAATTATCGTCTAACATCATTGCGTCTGATAAATTGGTCTTCTTTGTCATAACGTTATATATGCTACAATAAAGCTTAAAGCTGACGCCACAATTAAATCATATCAACACCAAATTGATAGTCTGAATAAAATCATCCTGATATTGAGCTGTGTTAGAAATTAACAGCTGCGCAAAAATATACCTAGTCTCCCTCTTTAAAAAACAAAAAGGAAAATCCCTCAAACACCATGAAGTGTAGACATGATAGGCTACTTTCCACATTTCCAGCAGCAAAGCTGTCAATTAGGCCCATTATCTTTAACAGGGATCATTTCCTCCAACAAAACAAAATGTTGGCACTAATTAATGGTGCTATTAAGTGTCCGCAAATGATCAGTTTCTTTCTTATGAAGGGGTGGGATGAAAGTTCGACTTCTTTCCACTCCTTTTTGAACAATCTTTTCATTGTCTGTTGTTGTTGCTTTCTTTTCTTTTTTAATGTTCAAAATAAACTTTCAAATCAAAATCAATCAAATTAATTAAACTTCCCGTCATGACTGGGCTGCATTTCTGTCAGCGGAGTCATTTTTTTCCGAACAGCTGATTGGCCAGTGGGTGGTGCTTTTTATAGGATCAGATTCAACCCTGAACTTACCCTGCTCCGAAGCAGGATAGTCGTTCAGAGTAAGTTACCATGGTGATCTACCCCGATAAGAACTGAACCGGCTTCGTGAGACTGAAAACCCAGGGTTAACTCTGAAGTTACCTCGCTAAGACATTAATCCTGCTTCGTGATACAGGCCCCAGGTGGTGCTTAGTCGCTCAGCAGGACCACTGGACACCCTGTAGTTAGTATTCATTTTTGTTATGTTAGGCCCAACGATAGACAGCAGGTTGTCAAACTGCCCCAAGTCATCCTAAAAAAATAATGATTTTTAAAATGTCGATGTAAGGACAATAGAATTGTTTACATTACATTTACATTCAGCATATTACTGCATTAATCACTGTTTAATCAAATGATCACATAGGCTACTAACACACATCTTGAACTGTGAGGGCCCTCAGCCCATTCTTGCTCCAGGGCCACAGGTTACTGCAGCCCTGGTGATATTGCAAGGAAGAACAATGCACTACACACACAGCAGACATCTGCCCTATCACTTACTGCTCCCCTGTACCAAACTTTTTTAGATACTCATGCTCCAACACGTTTTGTTCACTGTTACAAGGGACAATACATCACGGCTCTGTTATAAGTTGAGCTGGGTTGATGCTAGCTTTGTTTAAAACATCGCTACATTTAACTTGTCATGTATTAAATACGTCCTACATATAACACTTTACTATTTGCCTTTAGTTATGTGGGTCGCAACAGAGAAATGTTGGAGTCTGATGAGAATTCGGCGTTAGCTCCCTTTAACACAGGACGCTGCAGTTCACAACTTCCCTGGAACCCTACACGTGTCCAAACACACTCGGCTCTGGCATAAACAAACAAAACAGCTGTAGGTACAGATGAAGCAACATATTCATTTGCACCTAACTTATCAGGAAACTGGCATCAGTAAATATCGTGTGTCTGTCTGAGATTACAGGACAAGCAGCTTGACTACTTACCTGCTAGCTGGACTAGCTCAGCACACCCATGAATACACTACCGACCCACTTTGATGGCGTCATGTGTTGCCACGTAAGCTATAGGCCTACCACGGGCCTTTGTCAATGAGCTCGTACGAGACGACCCAGCCAGGCCTGAGTTGGATCTATCACCGCCAATAGCTGCACGACCGGCTCGTTCAAAATGAACTGCACCTCGCCTGAAGAGTGGCCGCGATCCGGCGGCAGCAGCATGGGGTAAAGAAAAAACTGCGGTTATTTTCCAGCGGCACTCTGAGAATATTAGTAAGGCGGAGATCCTCCCAGTGGCACTGACACGGCAGTGTAAAGCCTAAGGCAGCAGCCAGGCGGCCGCCAGGCAGGTATCCGCACAGTGGCAGGCGACTGTCAAGCTAGTCAAGCAAATTTCTTCTTATAATGTTTGTATAGAGATGTCTCTCCACAAGTATTAACCAAGGAATATAAGCTGAATCCAATGGAAGCGAATCGTGACTAATATTTAAATTAAAATGTATTTGCAGAAATGCTTTTTCATTTTAAGAATGTGGCTGCATTATTTTACTCATAAATAAAATTAATCATCAATCATCCTATTTGCATTTTAATTTTCTTCTTCAAGACTGCTCATTCTTTTACTTAATTAAAATGAAAAAGAAAAAGACATTTGAGATTTAATTTTCAAAATATGCCCCAGCAAATAGATACCAAAATTCAATTTGAAATGTAAAATTTGAAAATTAAAAATGCATTTGCAGAAAGGCTTTTTCATTTTAAGAATGTGGCTGCATTATTTCACTCATAAATAAAATTAATCATCAATCATCCTATTTGCATTTTAATTTTCTTCTTCAAGACTGCTCATTCTTTTACTTAATTAAAATGAAAAAGAAAAAGTCATTTGAGATTTAATTTTCAAAATATGCCCCAGCAAATAGATACCAAAATTCAATTTGAAATGTAAAATTTGAAAATTAAAAT